CAACAATGCAATTTTAGTAGTTTTCAAAATGTTATTCATAAGTAACATTAAGGCTTACCATGCTTTCTTCTCAGTCTCACTCATAAAATTTCAAAGAAAAAAGCCTCTTTCATGAATTTGAGAGCTATCAAAAATTACCTGCATTTCATTCAGCATTGATGTGCAGAATTTTCAATTTTATGAAAACAAATGCTAGATTTTAATTCATTCCTTTGACAAATTTTTTCATCAATCCAAGTTTGATATAAGGAAGTGGAAACAAAATTTGATGAGATTAGCTGCCACATTAGAAATATCAAGTAAAAATTCTATATTCTCCAAACACTCAGTTAATTGTACGGAATGTGCTAGAGGGACCCATGCAACCCTATTTTTGCCATTGTTTAGACATACACCTTTTCAAGTTTCTATTTTCAATACTCTTCCTTGGTTTCTGTTATAAACCAGAAGCAATATTTTAATTAGTCCTTTAATGTTTGTGCAATATACCAATAAAATATTGTTTGTGTAGTGAGGGAAAAACTTGTGGTGATAGAAGTTTATAGTTTATGTAGCAAGTAAATTTCTTTTATGAAGACATGAACCAAGTTGCTTCACAGACTAACAGTTAAAAATAATATCTGATCAATGTCCCCAGATCAGATTAGTCAGTGGATCACAATTCCTTGGGCATTGTTATTAGATAATACTAAAAAACATAATGAAAAAATAGACCAAAAATATCTAGAAATATTCATTTTTGGTAGGTTTCTTTTACGGGAAGGCAATTGGTCTATTATCTGATGAACTTCTGTGAATGAAGTGCTAAATTCTTCTAGGGATATTATCCAGGCAAAAGAAAGTCTGCTTATTCCTGAATTACTCTAACAAGAATTCACCAGGCAACTTAAGGTATTATCCTACTAAATAAAAACAACTAGCTTAAAACCTTTAGTACTGTGACGGTTACACACCTGGCCCAGTGTCGGATCCTTTGGTTACGGCGCCAACGGTGACGTCGCTCCTCCTGGTCGCTCCTCCTGGGTCCAAGCGTGCCGCTCCAACCCCTTTGGTCAGATGATCACCAGCCTCGCCTTTCCCAACTCGCTTCCAATACCTGGTCACTAAAGCAACTATACCCGATCTCGGTCTGTCTACCCACGCTGTGTTTAGATCTTAGACAGGCGGGACCAGCAGGGATGGGGCGATACAAGTTGAGTCCGACGGGGGTGGCAAAACACAAATAAAATAAAAACTCCGACACCAAACAAAATTGCTGATAAAAAGGGTAACAACCTTTTATATCTTTAAGTCCGTTACATAAAAACAAAAGTGTTCTCATTTCCCGACCCGCTCTGTGGACTATGGCACCAAGCTTCTATCACACAATAGAAAAATGTCGAATTACCTACTTTCTAGAATCATGTATGTATGTCGGAGTGTGGTTCAGTTCGACACTGGGGCTAATTTCTATCGATCATTCGCAGATTGATTCTTCTCTCCGACTTGAGTTGTATTTCTTCTTCTTCGTCTGCTTGGGCTGGTAGTTTTCCTGTTTCAACTTGGTGGAAGATTTCTTGTTTCAACTTAGCCGCAACTCTCTGTCGTCTGAGGTGGTCTCCTCTCACTGCCGTCCGGAGCTGAACTTTAACTTCTCATCGACTTTCGGCTTGTCTGCAGCTCCAATTCTTCTCAGGCTTTCAGGCAATCTTCTTCTTCATCTACTTGGGCTGGAAGTTCTTCTTGTCTGAGGGTTCTTTTTCGCTGCCGTCCGGGATGAACTCTAACTTCTCATCGACTTTCGGCTTGTCTGCATCTCCAATTCTTCTCAGGCTTTCAGGCAATCTTCTTCTTCGTCTACTTGGGCTGGAAGTTCTCCTGTCTTCGACTTGGGCTGGAAGGATTTCTTGTCTGAGGATTCTCTTGCCAAGAAAAGGCGAGTGAATCGGACCCGATGCCAGCGTTCAGGCTCTATCCCTGCCCGCGGTCCAGCTGCAACTCCAACTGATTTCTGTCGACTGGGGTCCTGCTTTTATTGACGCCGCAACAAACTGGGGTGGGTCTGTCGGCGTCAGGGTTTTCTCGATAATTCCAAAAACTGCATTAATTCTGTCTTCTCCATTATCGCTATTGTTTTCACCCCTACTTCCTCATAGTACCTTTGGTGGGGCGGCGCACATCCATCTCTCTTAGTCTCTCGTATGTCAGGTGACCGCTTTTTAACCAATCGTTCCTGATCGAGCATTTCTTTCCCTTTTCTTCCGCAAGTCACGTGATCGTATTCGACCAATTGTTATTGGTCGAACATTTCTTCCTTTTTTCTTCCGGAGGTCACGTGATCGTATTCGACCAATTGTTATTGATCGAACATCCTCTCCCCTCTGTTTGCGGGCGTGGTTACATCGTTCTTGTTTAAAAAAACAAATCCAATTTTTCCCTTTTTGCACGTACGCAAAATGACAATCTTTGGCTTTCTCTCACCTGGACTTTGTCAAACAGCCCGCTGCTAATTAGTCTTGACTTTAGAAAGGATCTTTTCCGCCTTCTTGGCGCCCTCTGTGAGCCAAAAGCAATTGTCCTTCTTTTTACCTCTTTGTTTTTCCTGATAGTCGAAAATCTTAATTATCTACATTGAAATGTCTCTACTTTATTAACGTGGGTGTCCAATTCTTAACAGGTCTGTATATCGTTCCACCGATCACTCCCCTCAACCCAAAGACACTTTTTCTCTGATTAAGATTGTTTCATTGTTCCCAAAATTTCTCTTTATCCAAATTGATAAGGTGTCTTTCCATGCAAAAGTAGGCCAGGTGCTTTGACCGATATCTGGCTTCCATCAAGCAGCCCGTTTTGATATCATGTCTTTTTTCCTTTCTTTCTTCTTATTATTTATAATTCTATTCTTCCAATTGTCTTTCGAAAATCGGCCAAGGCGCTGACCTAAATCTCTTTCTGACTCTATCTCCACCCTCAATTGGGTCATGCATCATACAACTCTTTTTCTCTCTTCTTCTTTCTTTTCTTTTTTTTCTTTTCTTTCCTTCTTCTTCCCTTAAGATCGTCTAGTACAATCTTAGTGAGTTATTTTCAACTCAGTTATTTTCCGTTTTAAAAAAAAAATCAACAACCTGTTTAGTAACCGAGTAAGAAAAAATTAAATCATATTTCTATGAATATTTCTAATAATGCAAGGTGCCACAGTACTCTGTACGGTGACTATCTTCACCAAGCAAAATGTTAGTCCTGCCAATGCAAGTTGAATTTGAATTTCTTGGTTGTGCAGTCACATCCTTCTATGGCAACACCTAAAACAATCTTGACTGAAACTGAGAGCTAAGCTGCTACAACTTCATATATATAATACTAATATATAAAACACTATATTTTGAGGGGATTCCATATACAGTAAATGTGAAAGATTTATTTGAACATGCTAGATGTTAAATTGAGCTACTTGGGCTGAAACCTTCCGAACCAGCAGGAGAGACTGGTTAATCCAACAAAGTATTAGTTTTTTATAATCAGGAGGATTAAGTTCAATCCCTATGCTGGGTAACAAATATTGTCCATAGAATAGAACTTAACATGGAGGGTATGTCAAGAGAACAAACATTGCTAAGATCTAAAAGTAATAGGAAGTTGTGGAAAGCCATGATTGTCCACATCCTGAAGAGACATGGCACATAGAAGACCTGATTACAGATTTTAATTCAGTGCATTAAAACTTCAAGATGGAGAAGCAAATCTTGTAAAATTGCTGCAACCTTTGAAACACACACACACACACACACAATAGTTATCTTTAAAAAAAAAAAAAAAACACCGAGAGACAATATTACCATAGCTATAAAAAGACCAACACTGAAAGAAGAAATACAAAAAGCTACAGTTAAATAAAGTTTTTTTAAGAATTCACCAATCAATTTATATAAGCCCTTTTGTTAGGTGGAGGCATGGTGGAGTAATGGATAATGGCTTCAATTGAGGAATCAGAAAGCCAAGTTTGAACTCTGGTCGAGTTTGTTACATTCAGTTTCGTGCAAATACCCATAGGAAAAGAATGAATCCATCTCTTCTCCCCCAGCTATGTGCAAATATCAGGACAGGCAGGGGGTCCTATGGCCTTGGATAGTACCAGGTCTAGGCAAAGACAATATTGAATTCAAAACCTTCAACTATAAGTGTGGAGTGAGTAGCCATGGTTAAATGCAAAATAAAGAACAGAACTGTCCAATAAACAGAATTAAAAAATAGTTTTCAATAAAAAAGTAAAAGGAATAGGGCAAAAAATGAAATAATATCAAGTGAGCAAGCAAATATATGCAAGGAAAACTAACAGGGAGCAGGCAAAAAGTTCACAAACTAAGAATTGGCATAGGCAAACAAAACCAAGTACAGCCAAGTGAATGTAGCATTCTGACTTCTAGACAAAGGTTGATCTGGACTGTATCATGTCAAACTGCAAACCGGCTCGTTTTATTGGCTAAGAATAAATATGTATTTGTAGACTTCTGCCTATAAAAGGGGAGAGGCAAGTGTTCTGCAGTCCTTCTGATAGGGACTGAAATCAACAATGGGTTAAATATCTTTACCAACCTGCACTTGGCCAAGTGTAGTGAGTATGGCAACATCTCTGAAGACATGGTAATTCAAAGAGGAGTCTCCTTCAAGGAGGGAGAAGGCCTTGGATCTGTTATAATCAGCTTTTACTCCTGCTATCTTTTATTAAGTGCATACAAAAGTTTCCAACATTTTTTTATTCAAATTTGTTGCATTCATCTAATAATTCTGAGGATTGTAAAATATGTAATATAAATGGACAAGTATTCCTTGGAATTTTGAGATGGTATTTTCTTGCTGTTTTGGTCAAAGCAACAAAGAAAAAAAAGCTGGTCCAAAGTATGAAATAAACTAATTTTTTCTTATTTCAAATAATTTGTCTGAAGTGCTTGTTTTTCAAATTTTCAAAGTACAGACAAATGATTCCAAGTGAAATCATTTTAGTAATACAAATCCCTTACCTGGTGCTTCACTCAATGATAGGTTTGTGATATTGTTGTCCTGCACACTGATATACACTGGCTTTGTAGGAAGATCATGTGGATATTTTTTGGCAAGAGCATCTAGCAGTTTATCAGGACCTAAAAATGAAAACAAACAATAAATACAACAGATGAGAGAATGATCTCAATATATTTTATTTTCTTATAAAAAAGGGAAAATATGTGGCATGTCTTTGTTGATCTAAGAAATAAACAAGATTGAATCCTTGGAAAGAGCAGTTTTTAATATTGGAGTCTTTTCAAAAACTATCAGTGCATCAATTGTTTTTTTTTCTTTTCCATTAAGATTTGCTTTAAATTTTTTTTATCCCATTTTAACTGAACAGTCAATGCTTTAATTTTCTTTGAATGTTAGTTGCATTTTAACAGTACATTTGATTAGATGAATTGTTAGTCCCTTATATTTTTTGTTTTACACTTTGAAAGAATATTGGAACATTCAACTCCTTGTTAATATTGATTTCAAATTTATGAATGTGGAAGATTTGAATGAAAGATGACACTGATTGGTGAGGGAAAGAGACAAAAAAATTCAAAAGGAGAAAGGTCAAAACAAAACATAGTTCAAACTTTTTAAAGTTTCTTTGACATAGTAGTAAACAAAATGGATTGACCAAGATGGCAGTTACACATTAAGGATGTTAAAAATCAAGCAAGTGTAGAAATATGTGGTTAAATGAGCTTGTGTTCCGCTGACGTTGCTCGTACAACACCAAATACTTCTTTTTCTATCCACGATTCTTGATTCCCTGCACACGTCACCAACACAAAAATCGCTCTGCTTCTCACTGCTTCAGCCCTCTTTTATCATACCAACACTACGTCTGACTGACCAATTAGCATTCTTTGCTTTGTCCTCAGTTAACCAGTCAAATGGCATCTTCCAGTCCGACCAATCAGCACACAAATTGCTATTGGTCGAATCATGCTAAGCTGTACAAAGGCCACCATTGCAGAATATACACTTCTGGAATAATCTAAAGTGGGGAGAGGAGATTCATGCCATTTTCAAGGAACAAAATGCTGTTGCTACGTGTTGTGTATTGAGGTAAGAAACTTATTTTCCTTTGCACCAAATGCAAGTCACTCTGACTCGCTCGCTTCTGCATAATTGTTCACCACAAAATTGAATTATATGTGCAGCAGAGAGAGAGATAATGCAAATGAAAGACAAATAATTCCATCATTTTTATGAGTATTGAATTAATTATTATTAAGAACTGACAATGTTTTATCTAATCAAATACTATTATATATAATTTATCTATCAAATACTATTATATATAATACTATAATGTGTAAAATAAAAACAAACAAGACAGTTGCATATGATGTTCAGTGAAGAAAAGACTAACAATATGGATAATTTTGATTGATTTCCATTGGTAAGCCTAATTGGTAAACTATGGATCAGCTGTTTGTTAAAAATTGATAACAGTTAAGTTCATCTTCAATAGCAGCTTGTTATCCCCCAACACACACACACACAAAAAAAAAATATTTGATTTACAGAGCAAACTAACTGTAAAAATGAAATTGTTATGGGAACTTACCTATAACGATAATGGACTCTTCCTGACACTATAAATATTGCGCCTCTCAAGAGGTATAATGAATGAATGGGTTTAACGAGTCGAGACAATATTAGTTCACTCTAAACCAGACGTACAGTCATTACTAACACCATCAACTTCTATATTTCTGTTGTAATATATCTTTGTTATTCTACTCTTGTGTTAGTGTTGTTCTTCCTTGGTTCTAACCTTGGACCATAACTGTGGTACGAGGATAACAGAAATGAATTCGACAAATATTTTAGTAATTAATGAAAGATTTTTTTCATTTATCCAAGCATTTCTCCATAGGATTCAATAACTCAGATTTTGGATTTGAATACATTTAAATCTTTTTTTTTTTTCATTATTTTCAAAATACTATTATTAAAGACTTAATGTCTATGTATTTTTATGTTTATATTTTAATCTTTTCAAATATATTTTGCAAAGTTCAAAAAATATTTTGCTGATTGATCCCACAGCAAGTAAGTGAAGTTATAGTTGGTGCATCTGTGGGATGATGAGATCCTTGCTGGTGGGGACTTTGAAAGTTAAGAGGCCTACAAATATATTTTCATTTTTTTTTCTTCTACTAACTTTTGAATATCTGATTACAATACACAGGGCTGAAATATTTTCTAAAATCAGTGTTTCTGACTAGTAAAATCTAGGATTTAAAATCCTGATTTTAAAGACAGGCCTTCTCCACTTGGAAGATTAGTTCAAGACTACTTTCCTTTTCTACCATTAGCAAAGTGCTAGATTATTTACTAATTCAAGGGTGGGCTGAAAACTTCATAGGCTGACTATTAAGGATTGATGCTAGAGCTGTGAAATCTTGCATGCATTAACCTCAACCCTTATTATTAACTGTGCTGTTTTCTTCCAGGTCAATGGATATCTGACTGGAAAAGAAATCTTCAAATGTAACTAGCAGTGACTTCTCTTGAAAATGAACAAAATTAAGTTATGAAGTACCTGCAAAAACAAATGGATTTAACCCCCTTCAGGACATTCATACTGACATGGTTACTACATTAGGGGACAAGGCCCCAGCTTCATCAACAGTGTAAAAGTGGGCAACTGAATTTAGTTGGGGAAGGGAGAGTCTTGAAGATGATCCAAGGCCTGAAGACCCTGCAAACAGCTACCACCAAGGAAAACATTGATCATGTTCACCACATGATGATGAATGACAGGCAATTGACTATAAATCAAATAGCCAATACTATTAGCATATCCATGAGAGAGTTGAGAATATTCTGCACAATGAACTTGGCATGATGAAGGTTTCTGCTCAATGGGTGCCACGTATTCTAACACCTGATCAAAATTTAGTAGAGGGAGAGACAGTCTTGAAGATAATCCAAAGTCTGGATGTCCTGTCACCACCAAGGAAAACATTGATCATGTTCACCACATGGTGATGGATGACAGTCAATTGACTATAAATCAAATAGCCAATGTAGTTAGCATATCCCGTGAGAATGTTGAGGATATTCTGCACAATGAACTTGGCCTAATGAAGGTTTCTACTTAGTTGTTTCATCTGAAGGAAAGGTGATGGTTTCAGTTTTTTGTGTTTCAAAAGGCATTGTGTTTATTGGGTCGTCTCATCAATGGAGACTACTATGCCAACTTGCTGAGGCAGTTATGAAAGGCTACCAAGACCAAACGCCCAGGAAAACTGATGAAAGAGGTCTTGTTTCCTTAGGACAATGCTCCAGCACACAAGTCCTGACTGCTGTACATGACTGTGGCTTTGAAGTGGTTGATCAGTCTCCCTATTCTCCTGATTTGTCTCCACCTGACTATCATTTGTTCCCCAACATGAAAAAACACTTGGCTGGGAAACAGCATCACAGTGATAATATCGTCATATCTGCTGCTGCTGATTTTTTGAGACCAACAAGATGAAAGCTTCTTCACCAATGGGATCCAAGCAATGCAACACCAATGGAAGAAGTGTGTTGGCCACAAGGAGGGCAATGTTGAAAAATAAACCATATTTGGTCACATGAGAGTATCTTGATCAGCCCTTTTCAGCTGACATATATATATATATATATATATATATATATATATATATATATATATATATATATATATATATATATATATAAACATAATAACTGTTACCCCATTATCTTTTTATGAGGCATAGTTTTCAGCCTCCATGTCAAAGTAGAAAGTATGAAATAATGAGAAATATTCTAAAGTAGGATTTTACATGAATGCAAAAAAAAGTATGATTACATTTGAAAGATCTAAATCTATCCAACTGTGGTAGAATGGATCTGTATTTCTGGGGTGAGGAATTATTATTATTTATATTTGGATTAATGTCTTCATCTTTGTTGTTGTTATCACAATGTTTCAGCCATTGTGTCCTCTGGCCTTCTTCAGTCTGGGTAATCTTCAGAGAATTTCAAAGTGAACCCATTATTTAATCTACAGAGATAGATTGTCCTCACTTGTCTGCTGCACATGTCTAGGAATATCTCAGCTTGTTTTTCTTAGTGCTGCTCAGTGATTGCTAGTCCTGTTTCCACTATGTCTGAGTTTGTACTACCCAGCACAGGGAATGAACTCACAATTACTATGCTACCAAATTCACAAACCAATGCTTTAATCCTTGAGACTATTGTCCTGTAGAGGGCTGGTGAGCACAACAGTTGAAACATTGTGATGATAATAATAAGAATATTATGGATATTAGTCTGAATGTAAATAATATACATATAGCAGAAAATATATATGGAGCAACTAATGAGGAATGAACTCACATTGTCATATCATATAATAAGTAATTTCTCCCCATTTTCATATCTCTAGTATAACATTGCAAGATCTATGGTCAAGCAATAGAAATGCAGAAAGATCTGTAACTTCAAAAATTACACAAAGTCATTTGATAAAGCCTAACTAACAAAGAACTTTTTGAAATATTAAGAAAGCTTGGCCTACAGGAAAAGATCATACAAATAATCTAAAATCTGTACTGGGAACAAACAGTTTGTATAATAACAACAAATAATATAGTTTGTATTATAACAATGACAGAAAGAAGTGGGCAGATTTGTATATATTTTTTCACTGGATCTATTAAGCAGTACAATTTCTCAGAAAATTCTAAGAGAAATAGAGAACCTAGCAGGATTTATTATTGGCAGATGGAACCATAACATGTTACAGAGATGACATTGTTTTGAGCTGAGTCAAAGTAATCAAGGCCAGAAAAAAAAAGGATAAAACACATTGCAATAACAAAGAGTAGGTTTAAGGAAGCTTTATTCTGCTTAGAATAATTGATACCAGCATAGTGATTATAGTCCTTTACGAATGAAAGAGTTCTCCAAAGGGAGGTAATCATAAAACAATTATTTTATCACACATATATTACAACTTGTAACATTTGTTTTGTCCAAGATGGAATTCATGGTAGTGAGCAAAAGGGACAGACCAAGATATGAGTTGCACACTGAGAACATCAAAATGAAGCAAGTGTGCAGTATAGTAAGACATGATGTAAAGTGTGATACAGAAATTTGAAAGCACATAGGAATGACAAAATATACTATTCAGAAATTAAGTAAGGTAGTAGGTGATCAGAAAATAATATTAGAAACCAAAAAAGAGTACTGAACAGCTATATAATGTCTCTGCTCCTATATGGTAAAGAATGCTAGACAATTTCAATGCAAATGAAAAAAAAAGACATGGAGCAATAGAGATGTGGTTTTTACCTTTAAATATTGAGAATATCATGGAGAGAGCATATGAGAAATTAGGAAGTTTTAAGGAGGCTAGCAACTACAAAAACATTGTTGCAAAAATCAAAGGAAAAAAACAATTTAAATTTTTTGGATACATAATTAGGAAAGGAGGCTTGGAAAATTTAATACTCTCAGGTCTCATTAAAATCGTGCAAATCAAAGAAAAGCAGTGAGTAATTGACTTAGCATATCTGAGCAAATTGATGGACAAACAAGTACAACAAAGACAAAAGAAGTTATAAAAGAACAAGTATTACTGAAAATAACAAGACAAGAAGCTGTGGAGAACCATGATCATCCAGATCCTGAAGAGACATGAAACAAATATTTTATGGAAACCTAAAATATTGTTTCATATACAAGATAGTGCAGCAAAGATATGAATATTTTCATTACAATAAGCAGCTTACAGCTATATCATATTGAAACTCCAGTACTTGTACAATCACTGAAGTTAAGCAACATTGAGCCTGGTCAGTACTTAGATGAGTGACCACTTGAGAATATCAGGTACTGTAAATTTAAGTGTTGGTGGTATAATGGATAACAGCTTGGAAATTGGAGAGCTGATTTCAATTTCCAGTCAGGTTCATTATATTCACTTACATGCAAATACCCCCTCCCTGGGAAAACTATGAACCCACATCTTCTCTCACCAGCTATGGGTTAATTAGTAGGACTTCTATCAGTAAAATCATTACGATCTCTTATAATCTAAAAGTATTTTCTAGCTTTAAATAACCCACAAAGGGTTGATAAACAATAAAAAATCAACCAATAAATTACAATGAATATCTCTATCTATAAAAGGCAGGATGTGTGTGTGTGTAATGAATGCACGGACGCAATTTTTGATGGATTTGCACCAAAATTTACATGCACATGCTCCAAGTTAGCGGGAAGGCCAAGACTGATTTTGCATTTCCCAACTCCCATCAATAGTAGAAATAATCGATTTTTTCATACTTCTACGGCAGTTTTCAGGTAGTTTGCAGCCATTTTCTACTGGCCAGCGTGAGAGCCAACAGCTGACTGACACGAATTTTAACTAGCATGCTAGCATGCAAAAAAAAAAAATTGATAGCTGCATTCGTCACAAATGGAAAAAATTTAAATCTGCATGGCACTTTACTCCAATTGGATCATTCGCTTGCTTAAACATTGATTCTGATTCCGCAGAACTGGGTTGGGTGTGAAAAAGTATTTGTTGTTAACATACTTTTTTCATTTGGTTTTTCCAGTTACGAGTCCTTTTTTAAAGCTGATCGTTTTGTGTTCATTTTGTTTAGTTCTTTTTTCGTAACAGATTTAATGTTTAGTATAGAGCTTAGAAAAAATTCGCAGTGTGAGATAAGCAAGAAGTAAGGCATGTAGCAAGATCAGAACGGCAAAGGGCATTCCTTTAAAGGCAAGGAAGGGCAAAAATATTTTACGTGATAGCGATTGCTGTACGAGTGATTTTTGAATCAAGCATGGGCAACGCCAGGCCATGCTGCAAGTTAGTTAAATAAAGAAGTTAAGTGATAAGACAGAAACATAACATGAAATTCATTGTACATCATTAGCACTTTCAGCAGTAAAGGATGTTAACATTTTACAACTTAACCAATTATGTAACATCCCCTTTTTGAATTTCATACCTGGTATTCATTTTGTCCTCTACACTCTGCTATGACAAATACTTATTTTCTAGTGATGCTATTTACTTACCCATTTTCTATTCTTGGCCCACACATGTTAGCAAAGACAACATTAGTGCTACAAATGGTAATAAACAAGTTTGGCACAAGGTTATAACCATTGGAATATCAGTGAGAATCAAACTTGTAATAACTTTTGGGGCTAGCTTACTTACCTTTGCTATGTGGAACTAAGAGTGAAGTCCCCGTACATTTGTAAATATGAACAGACTACAAATTATATTTGCTAGTCTAGAAGAAACCCTTATTTTTTCCAAAAGAGTGTTCAAATATGACAGTGTCCATTATGCAGGTATTATGGATGGGCACTTAAACCCCAAAGTCTTGAGGTTAACATCTAAGAGTCAAGAGGAGTTCTTGCAAGCAGTATTGCACAAATGCTTTTGTAAACATGTTTTATTGGCTGGTGAATGTTAGGACTTGTGAAAAGTCAAATCTGGTCAAACCTGAAGCTTGAAAGACAAATGAATAATGAGTTCAGTAAAGGAAGTTAAAAAAAAAATAATAAAAAAAAATAATTTATTCAAGCAATTATACAGGTTACTATTCCTATCTTTGTTGTTTTGTTCAAAACAATTTGAATAGTGTTTCTAGTTGCCTTCAAGTCTATTGCATTCTGGTATTCTGCTACTAGTTTCATTAGAACAAGTCAGAAAGCAAGAGAAATGTATGAACCACTAAATTCTCTCCCCACCAAAAATAAATTAAATAAATAAAAGAAATTCTGTACAGAGGTAATTGAAGTTATCATTGAATGCAACATGTACTTGAGGAAGGTTTCGGAGCATACAACCTGAAATATAAATATTGAAGCAAAAAAGATGAAAATATTAATTGAAATATTCATTCAGAATTTTAGACAGCATAATTTATTTTTATATTGCGAAAATACAAACAAGTATAATTTTGAAACCTTTTGCCAATTAAGAATAAAATCTATACAAAAATAGTTTGTCACAGAATACTGGTTTAAAGATTTATTCTACTCTGAACAATGATCTCCTTCTGATGGCATTTATCTCAAGTCTTAAGTATTTTTTTTGCATAAAACCTATATCCCTTTAATAGAAAAAAGCATTGAAGCTATCTATATTAAGATTTACAAGATAAAATTGGAAGATTGCATTATTTATACAAAATCATGAACTACAAAAGAAAAATTTTCATGTTTCTTTTTGATCTCAAATAAAATTACAAGTCTTACCAATTTACAGGAAATCTCTGGCCTCACTGCTAATAGTCCTTTGCTTAACTACTTAACCAAACTTGCAAGTGAAAAACCGTAAAGTAAGAGATATGTGGAGGGTGATAGAAATGGTTTTATAAATATACACCATGGTGTTAATGATAAACTCTTCTTACTATTGTCAGAATTCCAAAATCTAAGCTATAATTAATAGCCATAAAATCCCATAGCACAGCTGCAAAAATAATGTCTAGACCAGAAATAAAAAAAAATACAAGGTTTTCGTAAATTCTGATCAAGGTCTTTTTTGTTTTACTTTCCTGAGAAAGCAAAGAATTGAGAATTGCAAAAGGAAATAAAGTTTCTTGCAAAAAGACAAATGAAAAGTTTGTTTTCTTTTCAAAGTTTTGTTCTATATTGAGATAAGTAAGCAGACAGACATACAGTGCCATTCCAACATTTCATGCAAATAAGAAAAACGAACAATTCTAATGCTAATTTGTTGGAAGATCATGAAATATAAGTCAGATGTGGAATGTTCTAAAATAGAACTGAGTATATGTTTTAATATATAAAAAATAGTTTTTGATAGTTCCAATTTTGAGGCAGTTATCTAAAAATGAAAATAAAAAATCCAATGTAAACAAATGTAAGGATAAAACAATTGAAAGACAGTGGCTTACTCAACAATAGTTTATTCAAAGAAATGACATTGAAAATCTGTCCCTGATAAGGTTTGGGGGTAACAATAAAACAGAGATGTAATATGATTGAGTGATAGGATTCTTATTCTATCGAATGACTTGAAGCAATCTATCGTCAACAGAAGAAGTTGAGAATTTTTTCAGGGATCATAAGTTTGTAAAGTTCATTTTTGATTACTGCCCTTATAAATACACCTTTATAAATGTTGCAAGAGTTTTTAATCAATTTTAAATAAAAGAAACATGGCAGCCATACTGTAAACATGTCATTTTGAAATACTAAGAACTAGATAAGTTCACCTATCGTCCAGTTCACATTCCTCTCCACTCTTTTAAATGGGAGTAGACATTTACTCCTTGTTTCCTGTTTAAGATTGGGTTTCCATTTCCTTCTAAAGCCTACTTCAGTTTTATACTCTTAACACTTATCCTTCCCTATGCTAATAACAGCACACAATAACCCTCTAACTTGACTGGTTCTTAGGCCTTGGGTTAATATTATTAAAAAGAAAAAAAAAGTTACTCTTTAAAGCCCTGTGCTACGAAATTTTGAATTTCACTACTTGTTACTTTGGGGGTTTGTATTTATTAATAAACTGGGCTATCTTATTCTATTAATAAGAAGAAAGATTCAAATTTAATAGCACTTAGCTTTTTTCAAATGCAGCCTAATTCACTACTTGTAACCCAGTCTTGCAACTCTGACCACAAGTGTTAATCTAATTTTATATAAAAGAAGGCAAAGATGCAAGATACATGTCTAATATATAACTAGAAACTTTGGACTAAATCCAATTGATAATTGGATAAGTTTTAATATCAACTAAAAAAAATTAATCCAAGAAAAAACAATTGAAATAATCAAATAAAAAGAATTAATTTTTAAAATATTTTTTCCCTAACTACATAGGTAAGCAGATACATGGAGGCTTATAACTGAACATGCAACTTCCTTTTTCTTTCTTAGGTACAGTTGCACTGAAATGACTGTCCATCATTTTATCACCAATGACTTGACCAAAGGAATAATATGCAAGTATTCAAGTAACACCAAAACTTATGTAGACTTCAGTGAATAATAAAATGCATCAATAACATACTTCAAATTTGGCAATAGAGTCTAAAGGTAGGTAGCATAATTAGTAAACAGATTGGTGTAAGTTCTACCGGAGCCTACTTTATTACCATCATTATACATCCACAATTGGTATGGATGTAGAGAAAGCATTGAAATTATAAATAAAGTAAGCTCCACAAAAAACCCTAAGCTGTGAATATAAATTGATAAACATGATATATGTCATAAAGTTATTGCTATACTTCTGCCAAGAATGTGAATTGGGAAAATATGTGAACTTTAAGAGAGTTTGTAATTAAATAAAAGTACAAAAAAAAAAAAAGAGACAGTGATCTGACAGGGTGTAATTCCTCACTTTATAATGAATAATGGTGGCTATGCAACATAGCAGTCTATAAGATGCAAGGGTTGATGAGTGAATATATCTATCCAGAAAAATTCCAGAGCTCTCCCATAAGGGAGTTGCAATTTTGGGATGTGGCTGCAAGGAATTTATCCAGTAGTTTCTACAAAATGTCCAATTCATGCTTAACAAAGTTTATATCTTGTGAGTGTAATGATTAGTGGGTGACTAGAGGACAACTATGCATGATAGCAAGTTGAATTATGTTGCTGGAACAAACTATCACCACCAGAAAACATTGGAAATATAAAAGAGTGCAGATGTTCTGCAATATGATCTGCGTATACCACACGTTTTAAGATAGACACCACGTTAACTATTGGTCTTTTGAATTCCAATTGAACACATGCTACACTATATTAATTTTCCAAGCATAGCTTCGATGTGGCATAAGGCCGAAAGTAGGGGGCACCCAGTGAGAATCAAACTCACTGCTCAGTCACAATT